TCGAGCGTCCCGCCAGGCCGGAGGAGCGAGCGAGAGCGGCCGCGAGGCAAAGCGGCACGTCAGCTGAAGATGAAATTAGCTCTCGCTGTCAGCCGCGACTTCCACGGACGTGATTAACGATGGGCAGTGGGGGGGGGGAGAAGGGACCTTTACCGGCGGGCGACAACCTCTCTGAAGCCGTGGGCTCCAAGCGGTAAAAGTAAAAAAAAAATTCACCAAGCGAGTGAACGAGCGAGCTGCTGATGAGACACTGGATGTCGAAACCGGACCAGAGAAGGAAGGTCGTGTGGCTGATGGCATGTTCAAAAGAGATAATATACACACAGACACACACACTTTTCTGTCTTACGGAGGGACGCGTGTGTGTGCGTGTACGTGTGTGCGTGTGTGCGTGCGTGTGTGTGCATGTGTGTGCGTGCATGTGTGTGCGTGCGTGTGTGTGCGTGCATGTGTGTGCGTGCGTGCATGTGTGTGCGTGCGTGTGTGTGTGCGTGTGTGTGCATGTGTGTGCGTGCGTGTGCGTGCGTGTGTGTGCGTGTGTGTGCGTGTGCATGCGTGTGCGTGCGTGTGTGTGCGTGTGCATGTGTGTATGTGCGTGTGTGTGCGTGTGGAACTTGTTCCGCACCGTGCGTACCCAGCCGTGCTAATCGGAGGTGCGGGGGAAGGACAACAAACTGAACGCAAAGAGCAGCTCTGAAGGGGCGAGTTTGTCCAGTCTAGATGATGATGATGATTTTAAAATGGCATAATCTCCCAATGGCTTCCTAACATCGGACGGCAGGAGCGTTCCAGACGGCCGCAGGAGCCGCGCGTCTGGAAGCGCGCCAGCCACAAGGACGAGCGCGGTCGGAGTGGCCGATGGTTTACGGCGGCGGCGGCGGCGGTAGCGCGTGGCCCGGTGACTGGGAGCGAGCTCTGGTGTTGAGCGAGAGGAGGCATCGTCGCGGCCTTCGTGGCCTTCGTGGGTCCCCAGGGGGGCCGCCGGGGGCCCGACGGCCGGGGGGGGGGGGGGTGGGGGACCCGCGGCCCGAAGCGATGGTCCGACGTTTCGTTCCGCGTGTTGCGACCTCCGTCGGGAAAGCGAACGTCGAGTTGGTCTACCGGGGCGGGTCTGCAATACGGCGGCGAGGTGGTGGCGGTGGTGGCGGTGGTGGCGGTGGTGGAGGTGGGGGAGGTGGTGGTGGTGGAGGTGGTGGTGGAGGTGGGGTTGGCGGGTGACGTGGCGGTTGGTGGTGGAGGTGGGGGAGGTGGTGAGGGTGGAGGTGGTGAGGGTAGAGGTGGTGGTGGGTGGTAGTGGTGAGGGTGGGGGTGGTAGTGGTGAGGGTTGAAGTGGTGGTGGAGTGGTGGTGGAGGATGTGGTGGATGGTAGTGGTGAGGGTGGGGGTGGTGAGGGTGGGGGTGGTGAGGGTAGAGGTAGAGGTGGTGGTGGGTGGTGGTGGTGAGGGTGGTGGTGGTGGGGGTCTATTCCGGGCTTCTCGCCGCGGGCGATGACGCCGCGAGGGGGTGGCCGTCGCCCCCTCCCCGCCCCCCCCCCCCCCCGCCCCCCACCGGGTCGCATTCACTGGGGGCAGCGAAATTCAGCCGCCCAGGGCCAGCGGGGGTCACACCACGCACGCACGTGGTGTGTGCGTGTGTGTGTGTGGTGTGTGTGTGTGTAGGTGTGTGTGTGTAGGTGTGTGTGTGTGTGCGTAGGTGTCATATGCATGCGTACGTGCATCTCCACATGTCCACGTGTGCGTGTGTGCACGTGTGCGCATGTGTACATAGGTGTGTGTGCACGTGTGTGGCGGTTAGTGCGCTGCGCTGCGAACCCGGTGATGCGGGTTCGATTCCCGCTCACGGCCAACACCGGTGACGATTATCTGAACCGGTCCTGGGCCTCCTCTAGGTCGACTCAGCCTCAAATTAGTACCTGGTGCGGTGTGTAAACATTGCTACTGGGGAGACAAAGACGGCCGAGCGTGGTGTGGCCACCCACCCCCCCTCGTGCGCCGTGCCGGCCTTCATAGGTGCTGCTCGCTAACAGCACTTGCCCCAACAGTCTGTTGAGACTACACGGGGGGGGGGGAGTGGATCTTTGTCTTTGTGGCGGCAGTGCCCAGGGTGGGCCCGCTCTCCGCGCGGCTCCACCAAACAAGGGAGCGCGCCGCCGTGACCCCCGTGACCCCCGCGGGCACCGATTTGGAGATGACCAACGCAGGGCGTCCGGATATCTCCACGCACACACGTACGCAACACACGCACACACACGTACGCGTGTGTACGTGCGTGTGTGTGGGGAGCGGTAGTGTAGCGGTTATTGCCCTGGTGAACTCGGGTCACGAGCCTGGTGACCCGAGTTCGATTTTACCGCTCACGGCCAACACCCAGTGACTCTCATCTGCACCGGGCCTGGGCCTCCCCTAGGTCGACTCAGCCTCAAATGAGTACCTGGTGTCGTGCGTAAAAACATCGCCACTTGGGAGGAAAAGGTGGTCGGGCGTGGTGCTGGACACCCACCCCCCCCCCCCGTGTGCCGTTCTGGCCTTCATAGGTGCTCGCTAACAGGGCTTGCCCCAACAGTCTTAAGGCTATATGGGGGATCTTTGTCTTTGTGTGCAGAGGAGGCTCGTAAAGGACGCTGCTGCTACTGGGCTACATTTGGAGGCAGTCGCCCTCCAACAACAGCGAAGGGCAGAAGAGCGACGCTCACAACAACGAGCGCGGCTAAAACGCAGCGAGTTGGCACAGTGGGGAGCACAGGTGGCGCATCGGCCGGTCAACTCAGTCAGTTGACCCATGGCACCACCTGTCCCGTGACCTCCTGCCAGCAGGCGTTCGACATTTCACGTGGCCTTAAAGTGCACCTAGCCTGGCACGAGCGCCGCGGTGACATCAACGTCACTTTGTGCGAATGGTGGCTGTTGTGGTTGTGTATGTATGTGGTGTGTAGTTTGTGTGTGTACGCGGGTGTGTGTTGTGTACATGGTGTGTGCGTGTGTGCGTGTGTGTGTGGTGTGTGTGTTGTGTACGTGGTGTGTGCTGTGTACGTGGGGTGTGTGTGAGTTGTGTACGTGTGTGTGTGTTGTGTATGTAGTGTGTTTGTACATGTTGTGTGTACGTGTACGTGTTGTGTGTGTGTGTGTACGTGGTGTGTGTGTGTGTACGTGGAGTGTGTGTGTTGTGTACGTGGTGTGTGGTGTGTGTTGTGTACGTGGTGGTGTGTGTTGTGTACGTGGTGTTGTGTGTACGTGGTGTGTGTTTGTACATGTTGTGTGTACGTGTACGTGTTGTGTGTGTGTTGTGTACGTGTTGTGTGTGTGTTGTGTACGTGTTGTGTGTGTGTGTACGTGGTGTGTGTGTGTGTACGTGGTGGTGTGTGTGTGTACGTGGTGTGTGTGTGTGTACGTGGTGTGTGTGTGTGTACGTGGTGTGTGTGTGTGTACGTGGTGTGTGTGTGTACGTGGTGTGTGTCACCCACAAACCCACCTTTGGACGACTCTGGCCTCGTGGACAGCTTGAACTCCACCTTTCCTTGCTGTGGGAACCTCTCATCTGCCGCAGAGGAAGCACACACAAAGACAAAGACCCCCGTGTAGCCTTTAACAGACTATTGGGGCAAGTGCCGTTATTGAGCACCTATGAAGGCCGGCACGGCACACGAGGGGGTGGGCGGCCAACACCACGCCCGCCCACCTTTGTCTCCCCAGTGCTAATGTTTACCGCACGAGGTATTCATTTAAGGCTGAGTCGATCTAGGGGAGGCCCAGGACTGAGGTTCAGTTTTTCACCGTGACTGGTGTTGGACAAGAGCGGGAATTGAACTCGGATCGCCGGTGTCGTAGTGCGGCGCGCTAACCACTGCGCCACCACTCCCTACACGCACGCACGCACGGAGCGGTGTGTCCGTGCACACGATGACCAGCTTGGTGGTGGTGGTGGAAATCTTGGTTTGGTGGCAACGGTTGTGCCGATTGTAGTGGCGGCGGGCTGTCAACACCGGGCACTACAATCGCGGTTCTCTATCGGTTCTCTACTGGTTTATTTTTTCGTTTCTCTACAGATTAATGATCGTATCTCTGCTGGTTAATTATCGTATCTCTCTTCTTGGTTCTTTCGGTAAATTCACGTAGAAGGGAACTAATAAAATAAAAAATATATAACATGATAAAAAATTATTTTATTATTTCCCTTCTAAGTGACTTTACCGAAAGAACCAAGAAGATGAATCCCTGCAGTCACGAAAGCTTTGAATCGAAAGATCGTATCTCTACTGGTTAATCATCGATTCCCTATTGGTTTGTTATCGATTCCCTACTGAATTTTGATTTAAAGCTTTCGTGACTGCAGGGATTCATCTTCTTGGTTCTTTCGGTAAAGTCACGTAGAAGGGAAATAATAAAATAATAAAAATTAAACATCATAAAATAATTCTCACGACGTTTCGGCCACAACGCAAGCAGCCGTTGTGGCCGAAACGTCGTGAGAATTATTTTATGATGTTTTATTTTTATTATTTTATTATTTCCATTCTACGTGACTTTACCGAAAGAACCAAGAAGATGATTCCCTACTGGTTTGTTATCGGTTTCCTACTGGTTCGTTATCGATTCTCTGCCGGTTCTCCTTCCGGTACCTCCACCCCCCCCATGGTGGGGTTCCGTGGCGAGGGGTGGGGGAGGGGCTCCGCTCCGTACCGGTGTTTGCGTGATCCAGTTCGTGTTTTGCGAAGCAGAGCGGCAGGCCCTGCACGGCCCCTGTGTGGAACTGGACTCGGAAGACCTCGTCCCGCCCCGCACTGCCAAACCGCTTGTGGTAGCACTTCACCTGCACACGCACGGCCACACAGACGCCGCATCCTCATCGTCGTCGTCGTCATCATCATCGTCGTCGTCATCCTCAATTGTCATCCTCATCATCATCGTTATCATCCTCGTCGTCATCCTCATCATCATCCTCGTCGTCATCCTCATCATCATCGTTATTATCATCGTCATAATTTTCGTCGTTATCCTCATCGTCATCCTCATCATCATCGTTGCTATCATCATCATCATGTTTATCATCATTGTCATCTACGTCGTCATCCTCAATGTCATCCTCATCGTTATCATGATCATCCTTGTTATCATCATCGTTGTTATCATCATCAGCAGCAGCATGAGCAGCAGCAGTTGCAGCATACAGCAGCAGCAGCTATGATCTCTCCACTGCTGTGTGAAGTTCTCACAGCACTCTCCCACACAGCCTGTGCGTGTGTGCGTGTGGCGGTGCGGTGTGCGTCACGTGAATAGAAGAACGAGAACCGCAGTGCCCGGAGAACACCCGGGGGCGGGGTTGGGGGGCATGGCGAGGGGGGAGTGCCGGGGGGTGGGGGTGTGGTGGTTCTCACCAGGATGTCCCCCTTGAGCATGAGCGCCGGCTGGATGCCGATGCAGAGCTGATCGGTGCTCCCTTGCTGCACGTCGCTGCACACAGCGCAGAGGGCGGGCACATAGCGCAGAGTCCCCGCCCGCCGCCCGCTCGCCCCCCCCCCCCCCCCCGGCCAGTCTCCAGATCTTTCAAGGATTTGTGAGCTCCTCACACAATCCAGCCTGGTTAAGCCTAGGATGGATCGTAGGCAGGCCAGCCTAAATGTTTTTAAATGACCGTGGCCGAGAAGACCCGAAGCTTCGTGCGGAGCGACAGACCAGGTAGCTTCCATACAGCCTTACGCAGCCGATGAAAAGACAACGCCGCTCGACTAATTCGGAGTGAGACCTCTGCTGTTAAACCGGAGCCGGTCATAAGCACACTGCCCAGGTATGGAAAACTTTCCACTCTCTCCACAACTGCCCTATCACTAATTGGGAGTTGTGGGGGTGGAGTGTCTGATGGTAAAAATACCCAGGCAGGTGCTTAGTTTTGGTGGGGCTGCTGGTAAGGCCCCACCTCTTAGTGGCATGCTCCAGGTTCAGCAGCAGTGCCTCCAACTCCTCTTCTGAGTGAGTAGCAATCACCCAGATCATCGGCATACATAAACATGGTT